TGGAGATGATGGTGGTGATGATGATGGTGGTGATGATGGTGATGATGGAGATGATGGTAGTGATGATGATGGTGGTGATGATGGTGATGATGATGGAGATGATGATGGTGATGATGGTGGTGGTGATGATGATGCTGGTGATTGAAGCCTTTCAATGCACTGGGAGCTTGAGAGTTCCCAGATTGAGGCAGCACCCACAGATTGTTCAGAGCAAAGGCCAATGGGGATGAGTAGCTGTGCCCATAGGCTTGATCCTGCTGATCCAGCAGGCCTGGGGGACACAAGCTTATCTTTTGCAGTTCCTGGGACCACCTGGACTCAAAACCATCCTGACTCTGGACTTCTTCCAGTCCCACCCCCGTACAGCCTTTGTTCCCCAGAGGGCCCTCTACAAGTCAGAGGTAAACTGCATCAGTGGATCGACTCATGCTGTCACCCACCTGCACATACCCCTCCCCCGACCTGCTGCAGAGACAGTTGCCCCTGCTGGGCACTGCCGACCTTGTCAAGGGCTGGAGGGTGCTCAGCTGGGGCCAGAGCCTACGTGGAGGGAGGGAGGGGGCCGGGCATCCACACGCTGCACGGACAGCAATATCATTGCTTTATAGTCAGACCCTCTGTATTGATAGACTTTACTGCTGTCACCAAACAAGACCAACCAGAGTCTGATACCTTGACACTGACCCTTTGACCGGCTAGTTCAACACAGACATTTCCAGCATGACTGTAATTAGGCTCTCACACAGCACAATCTGGTGGACGCTCTGTATCTGCTTTCTGGCTCGGTTTTCCAAGCACTCAATATCAGTTTTGAATTTTCCCTACATTGTCCACACATGGATCCTAGGCCTTTTCCCCAGCAGAGGGTCTCCCTCACTTTCCTGGGTCGCTGAGCTTACCTGCCCTGAGCTGGTCCCCTTCAGAGCTGAGCACACCAGCTGGAGGCCCCTTCTGGTTCCCACTGCTTGTGTGCAGCCCTGTGGCCTGAAATAAGTATGTCTTTGTCGATGTGCTTAGGTAAGAAAACATGGGAATCAGGGTCCTGGGAGACTGGGGTCGACGGGGGGGGGCCTCGGCCAGGGGCTGACCCTGCAGGTGCATCTCCAGGAAGCCTTTAGCCTCAGGACCAGCCCAGAGCCTGGTTGTGCAGCTTACTACCACGGGCACATTACTTACCTTCTCTGTACCTTGGTTTCCCGTCTGTAAATGGGAATAATGGCAACGCCCATCTCCTGGAGTTGTTTTAAGAGGTTAATGAGTTGGTACTTGTAAAGCACTTCGAACAGTGCCTGGCACAGAGTTAAAGCTAAGGAAGTGCAGGATGACTTGTATTCCCCGAGATGCCACGCGGAGCCTTTGGAAACGCCTCCGGTGGTTGTGATGGGGGTCTGGCTG